ACCTCTTTGTTAAGTCTTAATTCTAGATGCCATATAACAAGCTATAAAGTTATAGTCTTCATACTATAATCAGCAGTTTCTGAGAACTCTAGAAGAGGTAAATTCCCATTTGATACTATATAACAAAACTAGTATAATATAATTCTAGATATTTTTTTTTTATTATTAAGGTGGCTTATATTACTAAGTGAATTTTATTAGTTTGATATATAAAGTCTAATATAGAGTTCTCCTATAGTTTGTAATTACATGAAGAGTATACAACAAGCTACACATACAACTTTAGTCATTGTCTAATTTTAGTAGTCTGCTATGCAGGTATTAGACCACCTATTAATACTGTTATAAAATAGGTTTTAGCATATTTCTCAATTATTATATTTTTATATTATTATATATATTTAGATTTAGTTATTATCGTTTTTCTTAATAACTTATAAGCTAAAAATAGTTTTAGATTTTACTATTAAATTCAGCTCAATTAGATCTTTCAAATGAGCTATATTTCATATCTGTAGGATATGTAGTTATTGAGTTGTCTTAGAAACAACTTAGAAACGATTACCGTTCTTACTGTTCTTACCATTCTTACTATTCTTACCGTTTTTACCATTCTTACTGTTCTTATTCTTAATTGTAAAAAGCTATATAAACCCTCCCTTTTCTCCTTGCTGTAAAATCAGTCTGTACAGTTCTAAAACAATACAGTACTCAATAAAGTTCTGTAGTTCTTTATAGTTCTCTAAATAAAGATTTGTTCTCTACAATCTCCTATTAATTAATAGTAAAATAGTTCTGTATAGTTCTAATTAATACAGTTCTCTAATAAAGTATTAGTTCTTTAATAAATATAATCTTTTGGCTTTAAAAATAAACTTCTCTAATGAACTGCTACAGTGAAATAACATTTCACTTTGACACCGTTAGGAGTCCCCCTTTCATGTTTTATGTTACTTGGGGTGTATTAAGAAGGCTACACCACTTGTAACATTTTGGTGCCTTCTGGTGGAAATGTTAAAAATAACATCTTTAGAACCTTTCTTTCACTCAAAGAAGTCTCTCTTTCTCTCCTTTGCTGATCCCCAAAACCAAAGAAGCCTCCCTCTTAAATTCTTTGATGATCCTCCACTTATATTACACAAACTTTAAGAAAGACCTATGTTGTTCTAGCAATGATCTATGTTATACAGAAAACAAAATACAATTCTTCAAAACCTAGAAATACCAAGTTGATATAATATAACTTTTACAAAAGTATATTGAGACCCAGAGAAGATTATACTTATGACATTTGAAAATTGAAGCCTCCAAGAACTTTACTATTGATATGAGCAGACACAGATAAATAATATACAGATGAACTATCAGAATTGTGGTACATCTAGAGTTAATACATCTATTCGAATATAAAATTATATCTGAATATAATTCGAATATAATTATAATTCGGATATAAATTTTTGGTTTACCTATCTGAATATAATATAACCAAATAAAATTCGGATATATTATATTCAGATAGAATTCAGATATATTATATTCGGATAAAATTCAGATATATTATATTCAGATAAAATTCGGATATATTATATTCAGATAAAATATAGATATAATATATTCAGATAAAATTTGAATACAATATAAGGTCTATACTTTTACAACGTGCACAACTTTATACAAATTGCTTTATATCCAATATGAGAAAATATATAAACTAGTTTAATTTTTAAAATCAATTATTATAAAAAAATTTGTATCTATATAATATTATAAGATGTAAATATACGGAAATATATGATGAATATAGTCATGCTGACTAATCTGATTTAAGATTTTGTAGACTTCGTAATATTTATCACTCTGTTCTTTGTATGATTAGTGAATATAATCAGATGATTAAGAAATATAGAAATTCTTTCACTCTAGTCTTTAATGATCTGTGATTATTATTTTATTAGCCTAGTAATAAATCTGACAAAATAAAATAAAAGATGATAAATATCAGTGAACGAATATACAAATTTATATCAGACTATTAATTTTTGTATTCAAAAATCGTATTTATATCTGTATATATATTTTTATTTTTGTTTGTATTATATTTTTTATTAAAAAAATATATATATACTATTGTATACTGACCAAAGGGATCTGTATCATTTCACTGACAATTATTTCATTGACAGCTTATTTAGCTGACATCACGCTAAGTGACAATTTACTAAAAATATATACCGGAAACTAATAAAACTCTAACCCTAACCCCATGTGATATCAGCTAAATGAATTTTCGGTGAAATGACTATCAGTAAAGTGAGTAGCACTGGACCAAAGCACCTAGGGTATAATACAATCTACATCTCCAAAAAACTTACAAGAGACTTGGTCTGTATTATAAGGAAGAAAAATTTTAAGTACATACATATTCTGCATTTATAATAAGCAGTTTAAAAATTTAAAAAACTCATGTTTAATTAATAAAGATCTCATATTTTGCACAAGGTATTTTGCAAGGGGAGGTATGCAAAAAAGGAGTACTTTAGTCAGTACACTATAGTATTTATCCAAAGATAATATACTAACAACTCTTTATTTAAAATGTCAATACAAAAATAATATACGTATATATATTATATATATATATATTACATATTTTTTTAATAATAATAATAATAAAATTTTAAAATTTCTATTGTTCTTTATAAAAATTAATATTATTAACTTTCAGGTGGAAATAAACCTACAAGATCAGAATTCCGTTTTAAAAAAAGAAACTTTTCTACTAAATCTGATGATAAACATGTTCTACGAGCAGTAATATGTGCACCTGCATCAGAAAAAAGACGCTCTGATGGTACAGATGTTGCAGGTACTGCTAAATATTTGCGTGCGAGTTGTGTTAATAATGGATATCGGTCTTTTCTTTCTTCCCACCATAATAATGGGTTTTGATTTTTTGATGCAACTGGTTCCTTTAAATAAGATGTTAATTCATCATCTTGTAATGATTGAGTAGTTATATTTCCCCAAACTTCTGTACTTAGTGAATCTATTTCATCTTCAATAATTTCTAAAGAATTATTTTCACTGGTTTGATCTAAATTTTTAAGTTCTTCACGTATATCTAACTCAGTATTTCTTTTTTCACTATTACTCGCAAATCCAAGTAATTTTAAAGCTCTAGGATCTAATAATGCTGCCTTTAATCCTATACATGAAAAAACTTCTGAATTTAATAAATCTAAATCTGTTGTAAAATTCCACAATTCATCTAAAGATAAATAAATAGCAGCTCTCATTTTTTCTAAAAGTTCATTAGAAGATACAGGAGTCAAATATTCAACTGTATGAGTATCTTCTATCTCAGAAATATTACCTTTTTTTTTATTAGTACCTGTATTTTTATGATAATACCCTTGGCGCCCTCGTGCATGAATACGAAACCTAGTATGCTTCCATTGCTTTTTGTTTCCTGCAGACGGAATTTCCTCTTCATTGCCACTACTTTCACTTGAATTTTCAACAGGTAAATGATTTATATCTTCTACTGGTGGTCCATATATAAGTTCTATAAATTGATCTAATGTTTCGCTTTTGCTAGAAATAGGTGCGAAATTTTTTATTAAAGATCTAACATAAGGGTAAATAAGGTTTACTGTAGGATATTTTGCTCCACTAATATGTCGAGTTATTTCTTCAAAAGGTTTTAACAGCTTAACTACATTTTCTAATAAGCTAAAAAATAAATATTTAGATAAATAAATAGTATAATAAATTTATTAAGTATAATAAAAATTTATCTAATAGCTTATTATAATAGTGCTTGCTAGCAGTTATATTATTTTTTAAATAATTTCGTTATTTGGTAGTTTACATAATTACTACCAAAAATTCAAATCATATAGCAAGCATAATTATTATAAACGATCAGAAAATACTATTATTGTCTGAAGCATAAAGCAATTAACCAGATTTTGTATTGGATTTTAGAAATATTATTAAATAGTTAGTCAAACTAAAACAATTAATATAAATTAGCTAATTAAACAATTCTATAAAAGAAATTATATTTTTAGCTTCGGACATTAATAGTATTCATTTTCCTAGTTACAATATAGCGCTAACTATAGTACCTTGGATACTATTCAATCAACTATCAAATTTCTTGAATAGTATCCTTCCGAGTACTAATTATGAGAAAGGTACTATAATAAGGGATACTTTACATAGTTTAATATTAGTTTAATATAGATTCAAATATAAATATTATATATATCTAATTAGAATAATACCTGAGTCTTCTGAATCATAAACCCATAAATTGTATCTAGGTCTTTTCATAAGGGGTATTATAGCAAGGAATGCATAGTCAGCACCATATAGTATATAAATAATTTATTTATCTGATAGCAAATTTAATATTATTTCAGAGCCTTGTCAAGGCCTGAAGCTAACTAATTAAATTTTATAGCCTGATTTATATTTGATAACTATATATTTTATTACTTACTTTTTTTCTTCTAATGTTAAACATAATTTTTCTAATTGTTCACCTTCTTTTTTAGAAATTCGATCTGATTTGTTTTGTAAGGTAGTAGCGAGTGTTTTCATTGCAGCATGAAGTATTAAGATTCGTTGCCATGCATAGTATTCAGAATTCCATCTAGTCTTAGAATCTGTTAATACTTCAAGAGGATTATTTATATCTTGTAAAAATAAATTATTTTGAGCATTTATTTGTATTTGAGCTTCTTTTAAACGTTGTGCCTGCTTAGGTAATCTAAAAAATAATTGAATACTTTTTATTCGTCGATGTAAAGACTTAATTTGCTTTAAACCAAAGCGCACAGAAAGCTGTAATGTATGAGCCATACATGGTTGTCTTTCTATTTTAATAAGTTTATTTTGAAGATTTTTAATAGCTTTCACCATATTTGCTCCATTATCAGTTGTAACAACATGGATTTTATCTTCTATATTCCATTCCTTAATCGTTTCCCAAAGATAATTGCATATAATTTCACTATTATGGGGATAAGGCATATATTGACATGATAATAATGCTTCATTTAGTTTAAAATCTGGTGTTATCTAAGTTGCTGTGATTCCAATATAGCCACGATTATTTTTAGCAGTCCATAAATCTGTTGTAAGATTAACTGATATTGCTGTACTAAATAATAATTCTCGCAATTGACTTTTTCCCCAAACAAAAGCATCATGAATATAATTTTTAACTGTATTAGCTGATGAAATTCGATATTGTAGTTGAAATCCATTAAGCATTCTACGAAATCCTGGATTTTGTAATATATGTAATGGTTGAACATCATGAATTATAAAATCTACTACAAGTTTGGTTAATTCACTTTGGCGTGATTCAGATAAAGGAGGTAAATTATTTAAAAAATAATTTGTAATTTTGTTAATGTTAATTTTACTAGTAAGCTAAATAAATATTAATAATTTTAGTTAGATCTTATTAAATAAATATTGTATAGTACAAGCCATTTAAAAACATTCAAAATGCAATTCTTTGATAAATATCTCTAAATAGAGATTGCCGGAGCAGCCCCAAATATTCAGATTAATAATTGATATACAATAACTAAATAATTTATTAGAGGTTTAAATTTTTAAATAATTAAAAGTATTAAAAAACTTAATTATCTTATAATGGTGAATCGCTATATAATGCAACAATAATATCAATTATTAATCCAAACTTCAGGCTGCTCTGACAAGCTCTTCTAAATGCATTGCATTAGAACTATATATCAAATACTAATTAAACATGTATTTAGGGGTATTGCACTTAGAAAGATAAAAATCTATGTATTATATTAGTTGGGCCTAATAGAGGTATGTATTTAGGAAGTTTTTCATAAAGCATGCATTTAGAGAGATCGTATTTAAAGAGTCTAACTATTAAAGAGATACAATTTTAAAAAATATATATAACAATTTTTAGAACTAATAATCAGCAAGATACTATATATTTAATTAGATTTTTTTAAAATTGTAACTCTAGCAAAAATTTGATGTGATTAAATGATTTGCAACATATAATTTAATACTTGCTTGCCCATTATCATCAATAAAATCTTGATAATTTTGTACTGTAATACCATGCTTCTCACGAAGATGATAAGAAAGATTTCCTGTACCGCTTCCTGCACCACTATATGGATATGGTTGCTTTTGCGATCCTTCAAGCTCTTTAATACATACTTTACAATATTTAGTTCTACTATCATTTTTATCCAAATCAAAAAAATAATTAGTAAAACTAAAATTTGAACGTTTAGAAATATTTTGAGGTGAATTGAATATTGTATTATTATTATTTCGGTTTATTTGTCTTTTTTTTCTTTTTGTAGTAGTATTATTTGACGAAGTAGCAGATATATTTTCACTACTTATTGAAAGATCTAATGATTGTGATAAATCATCACTATCATCTTGATCAAAATTTTCACTCATTGTAAATATAAATATACTGTATATATATTGTTGTAATGCTATTTGAAACGCTAGTATTTAAATTTTATGATTAAGTATAATAGATTAAAAAAAAACAAATAAATTGAAAGCCAAAATATGCTTCTTTTATATATAAATTAATTGACGCCAAATTTGTTGCACATTACATAATATAGTTTTTATTTCATATTGTTTAGTACAATTAGATATAATAAATACTGTGATAATTTAAATTGGACCTATTTAATTACTTATTGTAGTTTGCTTGTTATTCTATGAAAATAGCCTAAATAATTTCAAAATAATGCCTATGCGCGTCCCAAAATGACGCGTACTCTGTATAAAATGTCAACACAAGTAGAAGTAGATACATAACAATTTGAAAAACTGGATTCTGTAAAATTATATATGTCTCAAATGACACCCATGCGCATGCTCTAAATAACACAATAACGTTAAAACTATAGTAACTTTGAAATTGTATTGTATTCATGCATCAATTATGCATGTTTATAAATGCTTGTCCTTCCTATCTTACCTCCTATCTTTTCTCTCCTTCCTGTTCTATCTATTTTTTCTCTAATCCTTCCTATCCTATTTCCTGATCCTTCCTAATAATATGAAATAATGGCTGTTCATGCAAATGTACTCTTTAATGGCTAACCTTGCATATATGTGCATGAACTCATGACCTGCTACGTAGAACCAATTAATCCTGTAATCTAATACTTGAGATTTTCGCCCATAGTCATAAGACTACTTCTGAATTAATTATATCATATAAATATTTTTTTTATTTATTTCAAGTTAGTGCATATGCATGGGCTACATAATACAATACAATTATACGAAATGCGAAACTTGCAGCTACAAAAATATTAGTAAAGTCAAGTAGATTAGGGTCATTGATATAACCTATCACAAATTATGGTTGTATCAGTAATAATGGACCCGTTTAAAGTTACTTTGTATTAACATTTTTGTAGCTGCAAGTTTTTATATTATAATTGTATTGTATGAACCAGAGCCAGTGGTCGCTAAAAGCAAAACTAGCTAGCAAAATTAGCTAGTAAGTTAGCAAAATAGCTTATTTATAAATTTAAATACTTTCTTCGCATCTTAATATGATACAAACAATATCGCTAACTATTTTGTTAAAAACTGGTGCTGATTTAGATGTTATTAAAGTCCACTGATTCTGGTATAAATCTATATGATGTTACGGGTAAAATAAGTGGAGCCACGGAAGATAGGTCGGAGCTGCTGCGCCTAAAATGTAAAGTGGCGATGTTGACAGATAAGGTAATTCCACGTTGTAAAGGGCTAAATTAACCCTTCGGATGTACTACCTTCTGACGTAGTACCATCTCTGATATGCACGATTTCTCTTATCGGTTTTTATAGTTTTTATTATTTTTATAGTTGCAATAATTTATATTTATTATAGTTTTTATATTTATTATAGTTTTTATATTTATTGTTTTTATCGTTGCTATAGTTTTTATTGTTGCTATAGTTTTTATAGTTTTTCATAAGTAAAATTATCTATAAAAGCAACGCAAGTTGCTCTCAAATAAAGATAACTTTCGGAGTTTGAAGAATAACAGTGTTTGATAACCAACTTCGAAATTCGAGTAGAAGTTTGGTAGTATAAATTCACCATTGTTAAAAATCGTTATCATTAGAACCCGCCCCCGATATAATCAAACCCTGATCAATTTAAACAATAAGCAATCATCCTGCATATAGTCTTATTGATAAACCCAAAATCTCCATTGTTAAATCAATAACCAATCGAAGTGAAATCTAGATCACGTGCCCCGGTAACCCGAAATATCGATATAAACTAAAGGATAACCAGAACGGAAACAACTAGAAATAAGAGTCAATAACCAAACAACACCTACCTTAACTCACCCAAGAAATCCACAAGATCCCTAAAACCCGGACCAAATCCTCCACGCCCTCTTTTAGCCTTCCACTTAGGGTTGATTGTTGGATTAGTGTTGATTGTTTGTAGACCCGAACACAGGTGTATCCGAAACCTCCGGTAGAGTTCCGTACCAGAACCGGTTTACATCTTCTCAATGTTCACCTATCAACTTGTTGTTCCACAAATTATGAGTGATGACGAGAGTGGTGACGAGAATGATGATGAGAACGAAAGTAATGCCATAATACAAAGAAAAGAGAACAATCGTGTCAGAATAGAAACAAAGAATAATATAGAATAACTTACCTTAGCCCTGAAGTCCAAAATGTTATAAAAAGAGTTGTAATACCTCCTTTGAACGATAGCTCCTTCGGAACTATTATATCAGTAAAAATTTATAAAAAAGAACTCCTTAAATAAATTGCGCATAAAAACTTTAATAAGTTTATAAAGTAAACCTTAATAACTATATATATAACTATTCATAAGTAGCTGCGCAACGTTGTCGCGCAAAACCAGGAACGGGAAAGTAGCATATTACAATACTAAGTACTAATAACACTAACAATTGGTAAGTCTGTTATACAGTAGAGACAGTACCTAATCCAAAGTAAATCCTTCT